AGGGCATGTGTAGAAATGTTATCTGGGAGCCAGGGTTTGGAACTGGGGCCTCAGGACACTGCTTGCTGCCCTTTCTTTCTGTGACTGAGTTGGTATCCCAGTTGCAAGGCAAATTCCTCTTTACTCTTTCCTCTCCTCCCAAGAGGAAGGTAGACATCTCTACTGGAGCTGTGAGCTGTGCTGCCTGGGGCTGAGGGATGGGTAGCACAAGCACTCTCTTGGCTGCCCCGGCTGGTGTCTCACTAAGTCATGTGTCTGCCAAGTCCACTGGCTTCAAGCCCAGGAGAGAAGCAGGACTTCTTCAGGATTGTGGTCCTTTTGGCCTAAACTGCCTGGACCCCAGGCAGTTTATCCCATGGTGGTGATACTTTGCCAGAACTCAAGTTCCAACAGGTGAGATGAGAGATTCATCTCTGGCTAGGACTGGTCTGAAAGCTCCTTCCATAGGTGTTGGCTAAGTTCTACCCAGTGCTGCTTTCTGCTGTGAAAGAGCACTGAGTTCCAGTGAAAAACCCTGCAGTCACCGAGCTTTCCCTCCCACAAATGCACAGATTCTCTCTCTGTGCCATTTGGCTGCTGCTGGAAGACTGGCGCAAGGTGGTGGTATCAGCAATTCAAAGACTGTCTTTCCTCTTCAGTGCCTCTTTCAGTAATATGTGTTAAAACTAGGTATTGTGTGATTGATCACCTGGCTTTTGGTTCTTCTGAAGGTGTGGATACTTGTTCAATTTGGTGTTGCTGCAGGGAGGACGATCAGTAGAGGTTTCTATTTCACCATCTTATTCTACCTGCTTCCCCTACCTTGTACTATTCATTCTCTTGCTTACAATCTTCCAGCCATACTGGACTTCATATTCTTGGAACACTGAAAGATCAGCACTGACTGCTGGAATGCTCTTCCCAATTCTCCCTCTCTCCTAATTTGTAAGGCTAGCTCCTCTCAGTACCAATGTCACTTCCTCAGTCACACACCCCAATCACTCACTATATGACCTAGTTTTATTGTCTCCACAGAAGTTACCACTACCTGAGATGATTTTTTTTTTGAAAGCTCCATGAGAGCAAGACACATGTATATTGGTATTACTAACGATTTGCTAAATGGATGCAGTCTGTCTGAGGCGTTGTAGTTTACCATCTTTTCACTTACGGTTTGTGGTGAAGCTGAAGCTACCCAATGTCATCTCTGCCCCATCTGCAGTGACCCTTGAGGTGCATGTGGTCCACAACTTCATAAGATGGGCCTTATTTAGCTACTTCTCAATATGCCAAGATATTAATTTCTTACTGGCTAAAAGGCAGTGCCAATTCCTTAATTGCATTAAAAAAATTGTCAATGATAAAACAACTTTTAGAAAAATATAAATAATAATGCAATAAATAAGGTAATATAAGTTGTTTTTCATGGAATTTGGGAAGGGTGTTTTTATTTTTATTAGAAAATACAGCCTAAAATACTTTTACTTTACTTTTCTTAAATTGCTCTGAGTAAAAACATTATTCAGTGTGGTCAATCTAACAGATGGTGTTGTCCTTATTTTACAGATTTTGAAACTAAAGATTTAAGTAATTTGCCAGAATCCGAAAGCTGTAAACATCAGAACTGGATTTTCAAACTTAAGTTTATCTGATTCAAAAGCTCTTGGCTTTCACCACCACTCTACTGCTTCTAAAATGTCAAACATCAGCTGAACCACATGACAGGTATTCTATAAATGTAAGTTTATCTTTCTCACCCCCTTCCAATAGTGCCTCTGATTCTTTCTGTATTCTGTCCCACCTGTAGGTATTGAATGCTGTCTGCCACATTCTATTTCATGGAATATTTCTTAGGTTTTACCTCTTGATGAAAACATATCTCAAGTGTCTGAGAGAAGATAATTAAAATTACAACTTAAAAGAGAACTCACCCAACTGCCTACGCAGTACCTCACTAACTGTCTTTACTTCTGTTAGGAAACATTATTTTTCTATTGCATATCTGGCATATTAACTGTCTAGGCCATGCGATGTGCTGTGGCAGAAAGAACATGGGCTTTGGGGTCCAAGAATCTGGGGCCCTAGGACTCATCTCTGCCACTGATTGGTTGTGTGGCTGTGCACACATTTTTATTACCCCTCTGGGTTTGTTTCCTCATCTATAGCTTTGAGAGAACAGCCTACCCCTTTATACTGCAGGATGCTTCCTGCCTGGCACATCATGAGCATTCCATAAAGGTCAGTTTCCTTTTTCCCCTAACTTTGCCCCACCCCTTTGGCATGCTGTACTATTTTAACCTTCTGGAAGCATACAGGATGCATAGAGAGTCTATTTTGTATCGGAAAAAAATCTTTTAGGGCAATACTTTGAAAAAATAAAACTTGTATGTTGAAATGAGTGCTGCATGTCCAGCTGACATCCTGGGAGCTGACAGCTTTATTTCCATGATGCAGCAGTGCTGAGAGAAGTTGAACTTTGCTTTTGGAATTGCTCTTAAAGCCAGTTTATGAGTAAATTGAGAAAAGCAGCTTCATTACTTCATGGTATTTTTGACAAAAATAAAACAAATATATGTAGTGACAGTTTTACCATGCTCCTTATTCACTGTCATGGGTCCAAATGATCTTATTATTTTTAAAGATCAAAATGACCACAAAAGGATAAAGGTGTGAAGCCAGGAAATATGTTAAAGGCTAACAACAATCTCAAAAGATGAGTTCTACCACTGATTTGGCAGTATGGAGGCAACATGGATATTTACGTGTAACCCCTCATGGTGACCATTTTGAAGAGATCTTTATTTGGGTCCATGTGCTTATTAGATTGTTTACTTTAAACACTTACCTAATATGAAACCTAGCTGCACAAAAGTATTACAATCAGTTCAGTTCAACAGGATTTACTGTGTACTTCTGATAGCCAATACTATTTAGAAGAAATCCTTTAGGTTACTGTCTGGAAACTTTTTATATTGCACACTCTATCAGTAGTATAATGTTGAGTGTGTGTTCCAAATTTCTGTATAGTGCTTTACTTATAAATTATATACTTACATTTTAATTATTATATGTATTTATAATATGGACTGGATGTGTTTCCCCAAAACTCAAATTATTGAAATCCTGATCCCAATGCAATAGCATTAGAAGGAGGAGCCTTTGGGAGATAATTAGGTCATGAGGGTAAAGCCCTTCTGAATGGGATTAGTGTCCTGATAAAAAGATACAAGAGTTTACTTTCTCTCCCTTTCTCTCTGCTCTCCACCACGTGACGTGGAGGACACAGCAAAAAAGACTGCCCTGTGGAAACCTGGAAGCAGGTGCTGACAGGTTGACCTTGGCCTCTCAGCCTCCAAAATTGTGAGAAATAAATGTTTGTTATTTAAGCCACCTAGTCTATGGTAATTTGTTATAGCAGCAGAGTTAACATATTTACAAAGTATGTGCATTGTGAAACAGATAATAAAAATTAATAAATATGAGATACAAATGTATGTGTGTATTAATTCTAATATTTCCTTTCCTTATCGCAGTGGAGAGTCTTGTATGTCTGGTGCACATGTATATATGCTGCTTTGTAGAAGACTGGTTTAGATGATACTTGTGATAAAGGGGCTAATAATCCTTGTAAATGGTTGTTAAACAAAATTGTTACCTTTCATATCTGTTTAGCAATATCCATTACCTACACCAAAATCAAATGGCAATGCAGATTCACCCAAAGTGTAATTTAGGAAGACAGACTTGAATGCAATTTTATCATTACTTGTCCAGAAGACAAAGCTTAATATAGTTGCTAAAAATTGCATGAAGAGCTTGAGACATTATCACATAATGGAATGCTATGAAGACATAGGAAGATACTTATGTAAGTGTGATATGTAAAGGAATCAAAGATACAACTTGGAGTACAGTAACTGGCACTAAGCCAACATGTTCTGAGTTGGCTCTAGTTTGACTATAAGACCTACAGAGTCTAAGATTCAAACAGTTATGGCCTAAACAACTATGTTTTCATCCAAAAAGCCTGTTGGTGTTGCATCAGTCTTTGGAGAAACACTCACGGAGGTTTGTAACAATGATGTTTTAAGAAGCTAACTATAAAAATAGGGGCCGGGCATGGTGGCTCACGCATGTAATCCCAGCACTTTGGAGGCTGAGGCAGGCAAATCACATGAGGTCAGGAGTTTGAGACCAGTCTCGCCAACATGGTGAAACCCCATCTCTACTAAAAACACAAAAATTAGCCAGGTGTGGTGGTGTAAGCCTGTGATTCCAGCTACTCAAAAGGCTGAGGCAGGAGGATCATTTGAGCCCAGGAGGCAGAGGTTGCAGTGAGCCAAGATTGCATCACTGCATTCCAGCCTGGGTCAGAGTAAGGCTTTGTCTCAAAATAATAATAATAAAAAGAAAAAAGAAATAAAAGCAATAACAAGAGAGAAAGGCAGGTGAGGAATGAGACCATCTATTGTTGACTTGGTGTATGGGAGGTGGTGTTACCTTGGTTGCTCATCATATGTGTACTCAAGTTACAGAAAAATACATTCATAAATCCAAAGGATCTGTCAGATGAAAGATTACTCACTTATTTCAAATGACATTCTATAGCAATAGTTTCAACTATTGCTATAAATTTGCAACAAATTAGTTCAAACAATTTCTTAAAGCTCTTTAATTGGAGATAATATATGATTTTATAATGTTTTAAAGTCCATTTCAGCTTACAATTTTTTTTTCTAAAATAATTATGTGAGACTAAGAAGCTTAGTCTTGATGTAGAAAACTCAGTCCTTTTGAGGAAACGGCAAGGAATTCAATTTCTAATTAGCTTTGTTTAATTTGCCAGTTCACATTAAAGAATTTTAAGACACTAGAAATAGATAATTAAGAGAAGATTTCACAGATTGCAATAAAAACCACTTAAAAGCTATTTAAAATCAAGGACCATTTAAAAATGGTCCTTGATTTTAAACAAAAAAAATTAACAAGATTTCTTGGAGTAACATTTCTTGATTTCTTACCTTTCCATACTTCTGTGCATAAGATCCTGTGAGCAGTGAGTGAAAAACAATGATGGTTTCATCCAAATCCCAGACAAACACACGCTGAAGACAAAAAATAAATATCAGAAAATTTAAAAGTCCAAGGAAACAGAAATCTCTTTACAAGCAGAAAACGTCCCCCTTCCTTGGTAGGTATCATCTTGATATTTTATAGAAAATAAATAATTCTTTTTTTTTTTTTTTCAAATTTGCCAAATCCAATTCCTGTAAAGCCTGGGGAACAGGAATTATACAAATTATAAGCTTAAGAGTCAGATGTGCTCATTTCATTCCTTTATGAAAGAAGTATGATTGAAACTCTACATATTTTAAAGTTCTATACCTTAGGGATTCGTAAAATTTTGCAATATATGCAAAAAATTAGATCTTAAAGAAGTATTTAAAAGAATCAATGAGTAACCCCAAAACAGAACTGCCAAGTATGGACCTTTGGGTCTTATTAGGCCAGCAGATATGTTGGGTTCCCTGGAGTTTTGAAAGATTTCATATTAATTAACATTTCAAAACTAAGCAATTTCACACAAACTTCAGAGTTTTGACTGCAGCACAGAAACTAGAAGCTGCGGCCAGGCTGGCTGCCATTCCTACATGGCAGTGACAAGTAGGTCCCTTAGAATGGGCCTGTACTCTGAGCTCCCCACAGTCTGCTGGGAAATTCAGCCTGGTTACTCATTTATATCACCTGTCAAGTTCTTGAGGCAATTTGAACTTGTTCCTGTTGTTCAGGTAAAGGAAGTTATCTCTTATAAAGAAGCACAATGTCTGTCACTTAATTTTACTAAATCTGGAAGTTCAAATTTTTTTCTTTGCTTCTTTTTTTGAGACAAAGTCTCACTCTATCACTAGGCTGGAGTGCAGTGGCACGATCCCGTCTCACTGCAACTTCCGTTTTCCGGTTTCAAGCAGTTCTACTGCCTCAGACTCCCGAGTAGCTGTGACAACAGGCACACGCCACCACGCTCGGATAATTTTTTCTGTACTTTTAGTAGAGACGGGGTTTCACCATGCTGGCCAGGATGGTCTCGATCTCCTGACCTCGTGATCCACCCGCCTCTGCCTCCCAAAGTGCTGGGATTACAGGCATGAGCCACCACACCTGGCCTCAATTTTTTTCTTAATTGAAGTATGCAGTATGTAAGAATTAACATTAATATGGTTAAGAATAGTTTCTCCTGATGTTTTATAATAAAAATCAACCCTGCTTAGTACAATATATCTCAAAAGAGCTCATAAATAGAAAAATGACATATAGCAAAATTTTCAGATATGCAAATTTTAACACATATTATTAAATGACTGAAATTTGTCTATTTTTAGAAGATAAATTTTTCTTTCTATACAAATTACTTTTACCTTTTTAAACTTAATTACCCATTTGGACATCTTTCACTACTTTAGTGCTATCAAATACAGTGTTACATAGAAAAGTATCCCACAAACAATGGCTATATTTTTAAAATTTGTTGGTGCCAATTTAGATCAAAACATGCAATTATCTTAGGCCAAGAATCTGTAAAGCAATATCATTTTTATGTTGTTATTTGCTTTTAATTTTGCTATTATAATGAACAGAAAGAATCTCCAACTTCAGAGCTGTAAAATGCCTGTGACAAAGTAGGTCCATTCAATTCATAATATATCTTTTTTTTTTTAAGTTTGAAACATAATGGAACTGTAAGATATAGAATGCATCATTTAATAAAATAAAGCATCATACTATCATCTTTAAGAATGTGTAGGCATACCTCCAGGTCGCTATCAGGAGGCGGGGAGGGATTATTTTTCCGGCCTCTTCCTCTGGACTTTGAACCAGAACTCCTACATGTTCTCTCATCAAGATCTTTGATGGGTGTGGAGGGGCTTTGCATGGTATCAAACTCTCCTATAGATAACATGACTTGTGTCAAGAATAGCACTTCATTTTTAGATCAAGTATGAGTCTTCATTATTAATTATCTTAACAAATTCCTATACAATAGAAACTTCCTTATGGCAAAAAAAATATTTATAATCCCAAGCACACACGTCAGTCAGAACTTTTGTAGTTTCCACAAACTCCTCGTTTTAATCTGTATGATCTATTAAATGTGAACGTCTTTTCTACACCATATGCCTTCAACTACCTGTCTATACCTTCACCTACATATTTGTCTCTATTTAGATATGTCCTCACCTCCTTTTTTGTCACAGTTCAGAGAATGAGATGTCTTCTTTCGGAACAATTCCATCCCTCCACCTACAAACCTGACTCTCAACCCCACCTCCAAGGAAGTCATGCTTCATTAGTCAAGCCCTCTTTCATCTTCCCTTCAGCCTCTCCCATTTCTTGGGGTCACTGAGAAGTTTAAAAGTCCTTCCCTCTGACCTGGCATTTCCATCTAGATACTATTTGCTTCCATTTTCTCTTTTAAATAAAACTTCTTAAAATAGTGCATACTAATGCTATATGACAGAAATATGATGTAAGCCACAAATGTGACCTTATATAAAATTTTAAAGTTTTTTTTATTAACTATGCTTAAAAAAAGTAAAAAGAGTTATGTAAAATTAGTATTACTTATGTGTTAATTGACCCAATATATCCATGTTACATATCAGTCTATAATCAATGTGTTGACTCCATATATTCATGTTATCATTCCAGTATGTAATCAATATAAAATTATCAATTATATGTGTTACGTCTTCTTTTTCACACTAAGTCTTTGAAATGTTGTGCAGTGTTCTATGCTTACAGCAGATCTCAATCTACACTAGCAACATTGCAAGTGCTCAATAGTCACGTGTGGCCAGTGGCTGCAGCACTGGACAGCATATCTGTCCCCACTTACTGATATCCAATTTATCATAATATAGCTTCCATTCCCCAAAACTCAATAATAATTCTTCTGCTAAAAGTCCCCAGAAATCGCCTTGTTGACAAATGCAATAGACAGACTCAGTCCTTGTTTTCCAGGATCTCTGTGCTGTGTGTGATTCTCTTAAACACCACCTCCTGGAAAGCATTATTTGACAGGTGATACCTTACACTTGCCTAGTTCTAGAATCACTCCCATCAGTCCTTCTCCAGCTAGAAAACATGGACTCTTGTACTTCTCCCATTCCTTATAAGATAGTGTGTCAGAATCCCATCCTCTGAACACTGTCCTCACTTCACACAATCTAGGGGATTTAAATCTCTCATGTGTTAGTGACCCTATCTGTGATGACCCAGACAGACATTTAGACCTCCAACTAGGCCACATCCTAAATTTCAGACTTCTTATCTAATTGACTTCTGCATGTCCCATAGATATCTAAAAATCTGAAATGTTTAAAGCTTGTGAGAACGTATCTTAGGAGGTAGCGAGTACTGAGTAACTTGTGGAAACACTTGTTAATATAAGCCAAGGCAACTGTGAGATACAGTATAACAAGCTGAAGAGTCAGAATTACTACATGAGTTCAAGCATTATATTCAGTCACTCTAAATCTCCGTTTTATAGTAGCTTTCTGGATTACTAAGGGATAAACTGATTTATATTTAATTTGATTTAAATTATATGTATAAAGTGAAAATTTCTAAGAGGCAAACTATATTAAATTTAAATTACATGATTTTTAAACAAAAAGATATTATGACTGTCATTTTTATCATTAATTTTAAAAATTAAAATAATTAAAGGACAATCAAGCAGTTATTAACCTAAATAAAAAATCTGAAAAAAACTAGCCATCACTTATAGTGAGAAATGGTAATTTTTACATAGCTAACTTCTAACATTTTCTTTGGGAAACACTGTGCATGTCAGGATATGATAAAAAAAATATGCCTGTGCTCCAAATATTATTTCCACTTAAAACATTGCCAACATAGTTCATTTCAGGAGTCTATGTTATCACCTAGGTGAGAGTGGATAGCACAGTAATAAGATTTTTAAGTTACAGGGTTGAATATAGCCTTGTCTTATAGTAAATCATGTTTCACCTTATTTGTATAGGCATTAAATTAGTCTTTGGGTATCTGAACATACACCAGCTTTTAAATAAAATCACGTGAAAGTTCCATTTTTAATTATTTTTGAAACAGAATTTTCCTAAGGTTACCACATCCCCAAACCGTCTTTCCTCTTTCAATTAAAATGGTGTTTAAAATTAACCCTCACTTATTAAGCATGAATTTTGAAAACATTTTGGGTGGATGACATTCCATAAAATTTCTCCTTATATTCACTATAGATCAATTTTCAGTTGTTAACTATCATAAAGCAACGTTGTTCTCGCCACAGCGCAAGATCCGTTACTCGTCTGGAACCTTTGTTAGGTTCAATTAGCTAATGTATTGTAATGTTTGTCAAGGTCTCAGGGTAAAACTTAATATTGTTATTTATACATGACTAACTATATTTGATTTTAAAGATGTTTAAAATATTTGAAAAAAAAGGAGCTATAAAAATATTTCTCATCTTCATATGCTAATCTGTCCTCAAACTTTCTTAATACAAATTAAAAAATGATATACCCAATATAAATTTTACATTAAAGAAAGACCTTTAGAAAGATAATGAAGTAAAATGTCAGCTCTTAATCAGCATTGCAGTGTTTCTTTAAATCCACTGTCAAACAACCTAATAAGGTAAATTAAATAATGGAATGCTATTTGCAATTTCCAAATAACATCAGTCATTACCAAATTGCCTTAGACTTTTCTTGACCCAATACTATACATGATTGAATAATTATCCTTTAATCAGTACAGTAATGAATAACTGCACCTTTTAAGGTTTGGATATTTATATCTCACTTTATTTTATTAGGCTTATCACTAAATCAGAACAACCAGCTGTCTCTTATTGAACATAAGGTATGTTTTCATTATAAAAGTAGAAGTCAACAGTGAATGTTCTATGAAAAACTGTGGGTTTAATTTTAGGTTTCTACTTTAAGTCCAAAATGCAAAACTAGTCAATGGGAAATACTTTTCCTGCCCTTGAACTAAATGCATCAGATTCCATCAATAATAAAGAAAAATTCCATAGTTATAAACTTGTTTGCTTTTTGGCCATATGCCAGATCTGAAAAGGCTAAATTAAACTTAAAACTACATTGGCTGAAGGTCTGAGTTCACAGAATTCTTTAAAGATCCAGACATGTGTGTCGTTATGATTTTGGTTGAGAGAATAATATGGCTATAAATACAATTAACTCTGTCTTTAAATTCAAGTCTAATAAAAATCTGAAAATGATGTCAAATCATATTTCTTGGCCTCAGCAACCAATGGAAGCCTGAAGAAATTACAGCATCCTGATAGTGAATGCCAGAATTCCTTATGTGAATGTGTCACATCCAAAGTCACACACTCAGAATACCTACCTGCCTGCATTTAATATATTTAGTATGAATAAAATAGCTATTTTCAATACTGATTATTCCAATAAGGAAATTAACCATCTGTGTCTTTCCTGCAGAGAAGCTTTCTTATGATTATATGGAAATTGGAGCAAAAGCAACATTTTACACAAAGCCCTACTTAGCAAATACCATATTGAACACATATATGGGTCTCATTCTTGGTAGCTGTAGTCTAGTAAATTCAAAAACACCCTGTTGGTCTTGTCCATCATTCAGTCTCTGATATCTTGATGATGAAATACTTTTGTAGTTTCATTTTTAAATATTCACCCTACCTTGTTTTCCCCATACATTCATCATTGAGAAAAACCTTCCACAGGGTAATAAGAGGTCACTAAATATCTCCCTCCCCAAAGTATCCCCACTGCTTAAGTAAGGATTCTGAAATAATTCATTCTTTGAATGAAAGTAAGATCCTTGATGTAATGCAAAGTATTGACCCAAAGAGGATCATGACAGATTTGGAACATGTGATTTGGGCTGGGACTAATGAGTACGGCACCTAGGACACAAAATTTAAGAACCTCGAGAATGGGTTCCATCTTAAATTTTGTGCTCTGGGTGCTTCACTGACCTTACCCTAATCCTGGTCCTGCAAGAGGTACAGATACCCAGGGAGGCTGAGGCTAGCTGAAAAGCCAAAACAGAGAGCCCCAAAGGGACAAGGACCAGAAATTCAAATGGGCTGTGTGCCTTTATGTAGAGGCATCAAAGACAAGCTATATCTACTAGATAATTTTTCCTTGGACCCATAAAGATTATATTCTGAACAGGGAACTAAAAATCATGAATGTTATCATTTCATCAATTCATGATATAAATACATCTTGACTGTTGCTTAAAATATCAGGTTCATTTTTACTTTATGTCCAAATTAGTTTACTTGTTAATATTCCCCATATGACTTAACCACTTTCCCTTTCTCAACACTCATCACTATTGTAATTATTTGATCTTTGTCTTGCTTGTTAAATGGAAGCTAAAGGTGTGCCAAGAGCTCATTCACTGCTGAAATGTCAGTTTCTAGCACAGTGCTGATACCTAATAGACACTCAATAAATAATTGTTTAATGGCATTGAATCATCTTGGCCCCTTTGGTCCAGTTAGAAGGAGTTTACAGTATTGTGACCATGTTTCCCTATTTTCTCTCCCAATCAAAGCTGAATAAAAAAGAAGTAGAGATGAATTTGGATCTTGCAAATAACTGAAGGCAGAAAAATATACTTGAACAAATTAATGATATTTAAAAAAAATTCTTAATCTTATTTTTCTTAGTGACTTTCAAGAGTTTTTTATATATTGTGGATATAATTCCTTTATCAGTATGTGTTTTATAAATATTTTCTCCAAATCTATGGCTTTGTCTTTTTATTCTTGTAATAGTGTCTTTTGAAGAGCAAAAGTCCTTTACAATTTTTTGAAATCTAATTTTATCTGTTATTTTCTTGTAAGAATTGTGTCTTTATGTAAGCCAGGGTCACAAAGATTTCCACCATTTTTTCTTCTAGAAGTTTTGTAGTTTTAGCTTTTTAGATGTAGGCTTACACTCCATTTTGAGTTAATTTTTGTATATAAGTTGAGATTCTTTCCTCTTTTGCATATAGTTGTCCAATTGTTCCAGCACCATTTGTTGGGAACAAAACACTATTCATTCTCCACTCAACGGCCTTTGTATCCTGATTCAAAAATCAGTTTTCTAGTAGATATTATATATATCTGTTTCTGGACTCTCCACTGTATTTCATTGCTTTACGTGTTTATACTTTCATGCTCACTCGATTACTGTACATTATAAGTCTAATCAAAATCAGATAATGTGAGTCTTCAAACTTCGTTCTTATTTTTCACAATAGTTTTGACTCTTCTAATTCTTCCACTTTTTCTTGTGATTTTTAGAATCATCTCAATAATTTCTCCAAAAGTCCTGAAACTTTTCTTAGGATTATGCTGTCTCTGTTAAATTTGCTTTTAATTTTAAATACTTCGGCTGTGTCAAATTATGTGTAGCAAATGCAATTCAAATACTGCAAGTTTCAGATAAAGAAACACACAATGATTTCAAATACACACTGATCGCACAAAGATATTAAACTACCTACCACTGAATCTACAAATCCCAGTAATGTAGGGAATGTTCACTGGCTAGAGCTACTTACAACACATAAAGGTAAAGGGCTTATGTAGTCTCTTTAGCATAAAGGAAATATTATCAGTCATACTCAAGGAAGATAATGTTACAACTTTGTTGCAAGTTCTTCACAAAATGAATAATTAGTCTGGCAAAAGGTCCATATTCATATGCACACCATCATTTAGAGATTAAAATCGCCTGTCTGTCCCACTTAAAAGAATGATCTTCTGAAATGCCAGAAGAACCTCATCTTATACAGTGATGGTAACACAGATTAAACATCAGCACAATTATCTGGGAGCTTTCAGCCACGTTTTTGGAGTGTTCACTTTTTCCATTTTACTAGATACTGCAAAACATATAAAAGTATTTCACCTGGGTGAAGATCTGTACCTGGTTGGTTAGTCAGTCCTGGGAGAGATTCCTGCAACTGATAAGTAGAGGCTGAAGAGGGTGTGCCATCGGCTGTGTTATTTGATGTCATATACGCTCCATACGTTGATGCTGAATAATACTGTGCATACTGGTTTTGGCCAAAGGCTGTATAGGATGGATAATCCTGAAACAATAATTGAGATGTGTGTGTTTGAAAGAGAAATTACTCTGTAATAGTTTCCATGGAAAACCAATCATTATGATAATTGAAAGATTAGATTCAGCCCCATTTGTTTCTGAGTCCACAGCTTTGAGGTGATCCTAGTGAGCAGAGACTACTTTGTGGGCATCTCTTACAAGCATGTAGTAGTGAAATACCCTATTGTTTTGGCAAACCAGGTCCAGTATACAAATTTTAATCTGCTTAAAATTAGCATATGGTTCACTTTGCTCCTGATAATTACTTATCCAAGGATTTACATCATCAAAACCTATGTGTCTGAAGAGGAAAGAAGGAGACAGAATCAGCTCATATTCACAAAATCAGTTCTTACACATCTAACATCATCAGCAAGGAGTTGGGGCTGCGCCTCTTAGCCTCCCCAGAGACCACAGTCTACATTTTTGTGATTTTTGTTCCTTTCTGGGCTACTAAAAATTCTGTTTTCTTAGCAGAAGGTAAAAAGTAAGTAAAAGAAGAGGAATATGATTTCTTTTTATACCCAGCCTCTCACAAACTATGCATCACCTGAAGCCTTGACTTAAAGTCTTTAGTGAACTTTTCAATTATTTAGTTTCCCTTCTTCATTAAAGAGAAAAATGAACACACTGGATCAACACCTCAACTTGCTTTTTATTAAAAAAATTAAGAACCTTAAAATGATAATAATGATCCTTCAAAATCCTTTTACATATTAGGATGATGAGTAAGGATTTCTTGTGATAATTGGTGTTTAATATATCTAGCATGTGTCAGCCCAAAATGTTATCGGTGATGACAAATTCTTGGACATGACATTAAGATCCCCTGATGAAACATGTTCCAAAGGAAACAAAGATCTACATTTGATGTGGTTTCCAAAAAATAATAGAACTTCTCCTTATAAGTAAATATGTGTATGATCATAAAGGATTAAATAATATGGCAGAAAACTAAAATTCTATTAGTCTGAAAATTACAAGATCCAATGTTTCCTACTATGGCTTATAAGCCAAGAACAAAAACCTCGTTATATTTAAACAAAGTTCCTAGGAACATCTCTTTCTCAGAGTGAAACAGTGATAGCAAACGTTTACAAAGTGTTTACTCTGTATCGAGGCACTGTTCTAAGGGCTCAAATATATTTACTCATTTAATCCTCACAATCTCTTGTGTGGCCTTAATATTATATTCATTTTACATTGAAGGGGACTAAGGCACAGAGTGGTTAAGTAATTTGCACAAGGTCAAACAGCTAATTAAGTTTCAGAGCTGGAAATTAAACCCAGAGGGCCAAAGTCAAACATCTGTGTGTTGAAGCTCTCTGTTAGGCTACTAACTCCTGCAGAGGAAGATGAGGTGACATACTGGAAAGATCCAGGCTATTCCCCACTAGGGAATATAATGTCTTTTCATATTCGAACATGTCTCAAAGATCTCCTTTTCTTTTCATTTCCACTATTGTCCCCTATTAGCCAGAATAACACATATTCCAAGAGTTCTATATAGCTAATTTTTTACTATCCTGAAATGCTATCATAATTTTAAATAAGGAAATCCTATTCTGGGAAAGTATACACTTACATGGCAACTTGAAAGTACTCTTCAATAATCTGAAATACATATAAAAAGCATAAACACAAAAAGCTACTATACCTGTTGTGAACCACTGAAATTCGTTGAATTGGAAACTGAATTATTTGCATAAATAGTAGATGATGGTGCAAAACTAGAACCTAGAGGTAAAGAACAAATTGCATTTTAAAAGTATTCCTTGTAAAGTGATAAAAATATTTCACTTTGCAGAATTCAGTGAGAGAAACACTTTGAAATTTGTCGTGAAGACAGTGAAATTTGAGGTTGAGACATTTATACAGAAAATATGCTTAGCTCTTTCCCTCTTGTTGTAACCCCTGGCAAACCCTTTCCTATTGAATCTGTCGAGATAAACAGAAGCATGTGGGAACAGTCTTCATAAGGAGTGAGGCCAACATTCAATGGTTAGGAGTCAAGAAGTGCAGAGGTACCCAAAGGATAACATCTTACACAGACTAAGACTGCCTCCAGGAAACTACTGGAACTTTCAAATCATATCAACTGTATTTACATACAAAAATCACTTGAGCTCAACATTTGTACAGGGTTATTAGCATGGGAAATAAACATAGAGAACCCCATTTAGTAACTCCTTGTACTTTTGTTCCCTTTGTCTTTAGAGCAAAAATAGCTGTGATTTAGGGTTCAGACTCAAAGGAGAACTGTTTATACTATACAAATCTAGGGTTTGAGCACCTTCTAAAACTTTACTACAAGGTGTGAAATTTAAGGATTTCTCAAATCAGGGCAAAAACAAGTGAGCTGTCAATTATAGGTTTCCTTAAGAAAAAATCCTTATGGAATATACTTGTCGAGAAGTAAAATGAAAGGCTATTGAGGTAGCTGATTACTTATTTTATCAATGTGTTTTGACTAGCAATGTGTTATGTAATCAGTGCAACTGACCTGACCTGGAATAGCCAATATGAAAGTGTTTGTGGAAAAAATGAAAATGTTGTCTGTCACATGGCTAACTGAAGCTGTATGGATTTTTGTGGCTATACCATGCATTCAAATATGTTTCAACCTACATTTTAGGTAAAAAAGAGCACTGCTATTCCAGTCGAACATATCTAAATAATTATTTCATTTGAATCAATTAACCAAAATGTCATACCAGTTGGTTCAAATATGGTAATATAACCCCAAATTGGTGATTTTCCATATAGAGAAAATGACAGATAGTAATCAGCTTTTAAAGTTTTTGCTATGTCACTAAAATTATTTTGGCAGCTATTGCATTAAGATAAAACATGCTGGGCGTGGTGGCTCACGCCTGTAATCCCAGCACTTTGGGAGGCCAAGGAGGGTGGATCATGAGGTCAGGAGTTCCAGACCAGCCTGACCAACTCGGTGAAACCCCGTATCTACTAAAAATACAAAAACTAAAATACAAAAATTAGCCAGGTATGGTGGCACATGTCTGTAATCCCAGTTACTCAGTAGGCTGAGGCAGGAGAATCACTTGAACCTGGGAAGTGGAGGTTTTAGCGGGCTGAGACCACGCCATTGCACTCCAGCCTGGGTGAAAGAGTGAGGCTCCATCTCAAAAA